ACGTCAATTAACGGCGAAAATCTCTACTAATTTCAAGTCACAACGGGACTCGTGATGTAGGAGCAGCTTGCGCGTTTCGGCGTGATCACGACACGATAGGCAGAAATTCTTCCAATGTCTTGTTTTATATTATACTCAAATGTTTGTACCTTTTTAGGTCTGACTGGCACTCAATTACCAAGATATTAATAACCTAAATACTTGAATTTAAATAAAAATTAAATAATTGGTAAATTGGAATAATAATAATTTCTTTCTTTTTCTTTTCCTGTGCTTAATTAGGAAGAATGCGAATGATGTTAAGCCCACCCCTATACGTCTTGATGGAAAAAAAAAATTTTTAAGAAGGTCAGACTAATTTTTTTGTCTTAAAGATTCTGAATCTCTTTTGAGGTAATCGTCATGACATTGAAAGTATTGTGACACGATAATGACCTTTCAGGTTTTAAAAACGCAGCGAGTTTGATCGTATAATCGAATTTATTATTGGTAGAACGGTTTATAACCGACGCCTTATTAAACAAATTTCGTAATTCACATCTTTACCTTAGTAACTAGTTACTTAGCTAGTTCAATTAAGTGCTAAGAATAGTCAGCACGTTTGGCTAACATCCTACACCATCAACCTACTACTTAAAGGTTAATAAGTACCTGAATCATGTTATCAAGGAATCGAGTCATTAATTACCACCTACAGTTCATTCCAAGTAGTTCGTTACGTAGGTACCTTTAGTAATCCCAAGAACTTTTAAATCCAAGGTTTCTAAAATGTAATCCTAGATCTTAAAGTTTAAAGGTCCAGTCTTTTATTCGCTAGACTAGGTGCCTAGGTCGATAATTCAATTCGTCTAGACATTGATTGTAGAATAGAAATTTAATTTACGATCGATCGATTGTTCTCGATAATTTTGGTAGACAGGTTCTTGAATGTTGAATAAGGTAAGCTAGGTAGGTGATCTTTTGCGTGGCGCAATAAGGTATCACGGCCTCGGCCTGAAGCAGGAGATGGAACGGAGAATTTTAAGTCAGTTAGTGTCTTCCCTCCCACTCTCACACTCCCTTTCGCCATACACTGGGCGAGAAAAGTCATTTGATGATTTTCCCCTTACAAAAAAGGTAGGTAAAATTACGTATCTAGGTTTTGTTAGCTAGTAAGTTTACTTTATCCATGAATGCAATTATGCGTAATTATATATTTTCTTTTATGATTGTCTTTTTCTCAATTCATATGTCCTAAGTTAGGTCTAGGGATTTAATTAATGAGCTGCAATTAATGTTAATTTTACCATTTTACAATATGCTAGAATCGAACCCAATGTTTAGAATTTAGAAAATAGCAAACTGTCGCGTCTTGCTATTATCATAAGCCTATAATTCGTCACTGCTCAACAATGGTCTCTTCGATCTTCTCACTGAAGAAGGTTTGAGCATTGACCACCAAGCTTGCTGAACGGATTTAAAATTTATAATTAGAAGTCAAGGTGTCTTCACCGGTGTTTTCCTTTACCTACTGTCAGTGGTGTATTATTAATCTTAGAAGGTACCTACAACTACCAAGTAGCGACATGTATGCTTGCCTGGTTTCTTGTTACTTAGGTAATCAGGGACCTAAACCTTTAGTTATTAAAACATAGAGCCTTAGGTGGCAACTTAATTATATTCTGTAGATTTCTTAACAAATTTATGGCAAAAGTCGGCGAACTAGCAGACAGATTATCTGATGGTGTTAGCATTCTGCGCCCTATCCCTATGGCCACTCGCAAAAGGAGTTCCTACAAGTGCGTTGCCGGCCTTTTGTAAATTATTAGGGATTTAATAGCCGTATTTGGGGATTGAAGATCTCTCTATGAAACTCTCTCACAAGGCGAAACATAACGGAGGTGTTGTTTCACGAAGGTATTCTGTGCGATCGTGGTATCATTCCAGTAGAGCCGGCTCATTGCGCGCCAAAGCTAGGAAATTATACCTACCTATATCTTATTATTAAAAGCTTAGGTTCAAATACTTACCATGTTGCGTAGGCTAACCTACCTACCAGTACGTAAGTAGGTACCTATACTTGGCAATAGTTAGGAATCAAACACTGGATATTGCTGCACGCAGCTGTCGCTCTTGACTAACAGGCCATAGTTCTCTCTATCTAGATGCTAATAGGAAAGTAGCCATAACATAGCCCAGGTAGTTACTTAGTAAAGGTAAATATTTTAGAAATAAGTAAAATATAGGTACAAGATCCTTTAGTTTCACCTTATTAAAAGAATCATTTTACACAAGAAATGCAATGGTAGCTTAACCTTAGAAAAGTTCCTCGAGTCAAGTGTAATGTTACATCTAGGTAAGTAGGTATGTATACCTAGATAAGGCCAACAATATTAAGTGCAGTAGAATTACATACCTAATCAAGCGAAAACAGCGCATCGACAATTATTAAACGTGCTGTGAATGGATGAACAAGACCAAAAAACTTATACCAACGAGATGGTGCAAGTGCAACACTGATCAGAAGGAAAAGTAGTCTTCCTATCTAGGTAGGCAGGTATTACCGATATTTGGCTGAGTCAGGCACAATCCAGTGAACTCTTTCCTTGCTCGGGAAGCAATTGAATTCGTTAGTGAGTTGTTACTAATAAATAACACAAGGTAATGGGTTCATGGCAATCTATGCGCCCGTACGCCGGCATCCGACGGTTATGTAGGTGTGCGGTGTCTCAGCTTTCTCCCAAAACGTGGGCGACATCGCGCTCCCATTCATGAACCGTCCGTCCGTGTTTACACCACGACGCGACACTATCGGACGATACTCAATACTCACTGATACGGAAACAAAATATCGCGACACAAATCGATGGGAACGAACGCGATAACGATTGTTTACCTGTGATTACCGCACATTCAAGGTAACCAACCAATGTAACTCAGACGCATGTTAACGTTTACACGTTAATTCAACTAACAGACACACGAGTTTATTCTCTTATTGAAACTCTGTTGACTAGTGTTGACATTGAAAACAGTTACGCAAGTCGGTGCAACTTTAGTATAAAATAAGTCGACGCTTCGTTTACAAGACCAGACTCACGTTCTCTGTGTTCACACAACAAAAAGCCGGGCGAATACCGCATTTAAGACGGTTTAGACGGTCCCCCTTACCTCTGTCGCTCGAACGTATCCTGCGAGGACTACACAAGACAGCCATAGGTATATCCTCAAATGCATCACAACAATGAGAACCGGAACGGTCGCACCAGCAGTATGACACTCTCACACAATAATAACACAGCACAAAACAATTCGCTGTTATGTTATTCCACTAACACCATACACACGGATCGACACGGCGCGCGAAACGACATGCGGCGTCGGTTTGCGATTGTAGTAAACTGAGTGGCGCTTGGAACTCGGTTCACTGCGTTGAGGGCGCGCGCCCAGCACGCGGCGCCTTTGCAGCTAACTTCGCTCACGTGAGCCGAGTTCGGTCGTCGCCCGATGGTCGATGGAGCTATATTTCGCGTCACGCACTCCTATTTATTACGTCGAAGAATAATGGCCTAGCCGTCGCTTTACAAAAACAGACCTTTAATGCTCCTTCCATAAGAACAACGCAACGTCCTAAGTACTACTAACAATCCCTACGTTTCTCTGACGCAGTCCCTCAAAGAGTCTTGTTCTAATTTTGGTCATGGGCAAGACAGAAATATTATTTGCTAGGGCGACGACCGTCTGTGTGTAACATTGAAAACACGTCAAAACAAACAAGTCGGAAGATATGTAGCTATCTAAATGCGTCCAAAATAATTAATTGATTGCCAAGAAAAGGATAATGCCCTACTTACTATTTACCTACCCACCCTAAGAACACAAAATAATAAAAATGAGGATATTTCTTTACAACCTAAACAAGTAAAAGTGTTGTTATAAATTTCAGTAGCACAGTCTGTAGTATGAAACTTTGCAAAGTATATAACGATACCTACAAGTTTAATAATATGTTATAGGTATCTATAGAGGCCTTCCATGTTGGCTAGTTATTTTGAAGTAACGCTTGCAGCGCCATCTGTCTACAGCTAGAAACAATCACGACTAAAATTGTAATCCTTCCACACAGTCACTACAAAATAAAGCTGATGGAATATTTAGTTATAATAAAGTATTGCAATGGTTTTCTTTTTATTGCAAAGGTATTGCCAAGTATATTTCAGTTTAGGTAGTAATTATTAAAGTATGTGTAGGTATAAGCCATTTGATAATAATTTTACCAAAACAAAGTTGATTGTAGTTCCAGCTAAAGGCCATAGATGACTCTGATAACAAGAAAAAAAAACATCACCACCATGTATCATTTTGTCTGCTCCATTGTAGCACGTTATAGTTTTTGTCATTGCACGTTTTCCTGAGAAAAAAGCAACTGTCCAGTTAGGTGGCTCAGGTTCGAATTTGACTAAAAACAAATGCTAAATTTTGACACTAATCCAACTTAAAACTATATGCACACTTTTGATATAAGAATACGTTACTATGTATGTATAGTAACCTTAGCTATAGCTGAGTTCTATTGTTGTTACTTGCCTGTCCTTGCGTAATTTTAAATGTTTTGTAAATCAAACTATGTTTGATTAAAAAACCAATGCAACACAAGAATATGTACTTTGTAATACATAAAACATTGATCCTTAAATCTTAGAATAAAGATCGTGTAAACTGAAAAAAAATCAATGACTAAAATGACATTTAATTATAATGAAAATCAATGACAAAAACTGATTGAATGTGCAGTGCAACTTGCACTGCACCGTGGCACATTCAATCAGTTAGCTGCCAGTTGTACAAACACCGATATGAAAACTATACTACCAGGATTGCAATAATATTATTTGGAACAATAAAACAACAAAATATAATGATGCCATCATTTATAATTGCGGTTTACCTTCTATAACTAAACAAAATAAAAGCAAAATGTTGACATTCTTAAAACATAATTTAGTAAAACTGACAAAACGTTTCTCTGTTCCTGAATTGCGGCATGCTATCTACTTCTGTTCCATGTCAGCAACTTTTTGTTTGTGCCGACGGATAGCGTCCTCGTGGCGTTTAATCTGGTCCTGATGGAAGGAGATCTCCTTGTCCAAGTGTTCCCTCAAGTTAGCCAGCTGTTCTTTTTGCTGTGAATAAAAATATTAGGAAATTAATCAATGTAATAAATATCTTATTAGAAACTCCTTATAAACCGCAGAAATCTCAGCAATCAGCAAACATGGGCACCCTCAACATCAAGGGGTTATAACTGCCTTGCTGGCGTTAGGACTCTATTTAACTCATTCACACACGGAAAAACAATACAAATGATACTCCGATCGAGCCAACTTAGTACCAAAGTGTAGCTCATACATATGTGGAATGAATTAAATATTATTGAAAAATGAAGATAAAACAAATCTAATAACATGCAAAATCTTGTTTTATGAAGATTTTAATACATGAGAGCAGAGTATCTTTGTAGCTACAGAGAAGTATGGTGAATATAGACTATAGATATCTTGGCATAGTATTTAAAGCAGGAATGTTTAAATCTGTGTCACATCTGCCAATGCCTGTGTCACATAACTCCGAGTTCGATGGTCTAGTGGTCCAATTAATTTATTTCCGCGAAGCATCTGTCCTTTATGTATTGCATACTGATATTTACTGCTGGAATAGCACTTAGTCCACTAGTAACAATTTCAGAAAAAAGATCTTTGCCAATAGTTTATCGGTATTTTTTTATTATTTCAGGGGGAAGTCATCAAATGTCTTCTCTCGCCCAGGGTTAGGAAAGAGGAAGTGTCAGACTACTACTGGCTAAAATCCCCTGTTCCTTCTCCTGCTCTAGCCTGAGGCCGCGGTGCCTCATTACGCTTGCCACGCCACCCCAGCTAAACATCAGCCCTATAAGGCCCCGTCTGTACTCTGTAGTGATCTCTTGGCTCTTTGAGGCGCACGCGAAACGCTACGCGCCCTGGCGAACTATCGGATGGCGAGTCCATCAGTAGACCTGCGCTTACGGCTTGCTTGCCAGAGATCATCTCTTGATCCCCGGAGTGTCACCTACTTCGGCGGCCGGGGCGTGAGGAGGAGGATAGCTACCTCACGCGGTCCGCCTTCTTCTGTGCGAGCGTATCTGCTTCACAGAAAGAGCAGACGGCTTCCCAGTTCCTCTCGCTCCGCACCGTGGCATCGATTAAGGCCGGGCGCGAGTCCCTGGGGACACGGCGGTTCTCAGCCCAAGTAGGGCAAACCGCCACCCTATGCTCCACGGTGTCCTCTGAGTGTTCCTAACTATGACGACACTCGGGCGTTTCTTCCCGGGGATCCGAAACAGGAACCTTCCGAAGCTGCCGTGCCCAGTATGCACCTGTGTCAGGCGGAAGGTGAGGACGCCATGGCGTCTCTCAAGCCACTCCTCTAAGAGGGGTCTAACAGCTGCTATAACAGTGTACCCGATAGCTATTGGTTTAGATGGTTAACTAAAGGTAAAATTTTTAGATAAAATGTCATGCCAAGATTGTTTACATTTAGTTGACCACCTAAACCAATAGCTATATAGACCATAGTTAGGCAAAGTTCTTTTTTCCTAAAATTGTTCAGTTCAACACATTGCATCTGAGTTACCTTCAGTGCACTGTCATTTTAATGATCACTCAACCAATGAAGTGTTTAAGTACTCTTTACTTTCAGTCTACCTTTTTGTAAAAGTATTCTTCTTCTCTGGCAGCCTCCATCTTTCCAAAGGAACCACCTGCCTCACGGATGGCACCACCACCGCCGCCGCCTTTGCCGGCACCCGAACCAAGTTCACTGCTAAACATTCTGAAATCAAAAATTGATTCATAAGATATTTTGTAATATAATTATTGTAATTACAGAATATGGTGTGGTGTGACTTGGCAACTCAGATTGGATCTTTCGTGACTTTGAATAGCATATGTCATACTATTAACCAGGACAAATTTATTCCAAAATTGATAATCAAGAATTGACATACATTTTTATAAAAGCAGAATATAGTTAAGAGTGAAAAATTAGCTGTTGTCTGTGTGTTGTGTATGACAGATGTTATTATTTTATTCATAACTACCTAGGCTCTACCAACCACATACTAATCAATTCAATATATATACACATACACTACAGTAAACAAATCATATTAATATAAGATGTACATCACAGTTCAAATTCATACAGACTATTTTTAAGTCTGACACAACAATGCTGGCAATGGATGATGAAAGAATAGTGCAATCTGAATAATAAATAATGAAACTGAAAGTCATTGCACATTACTATTTAATCAAATCTCTATTCCTACTTATTACTGCATTTACTTGAACAAGTTTGAATACCCTTGTTGGTATGGACCCAAAAAAGAAGTACGAAAAAAATGTGTGTAGATGTAAGGGAGACACAATGTGTTTTCTATTGTGTCTCATACAACGGCTGACAAGAAATTCTGAATCATATTCTCACCTACCTTCAAGTTGAAATACAAAAACGGGTTCCATGGTATACAACCTTAGAGACCAAAGAAACTTGTTGAAAGAAAAACATTGTTTTGGCTAAAAGACTTGAATAAAAATTTTCCCTTATAAGCTGTGGGTTTGAAATGCCTTCTTTATTTTGAGTATGAGGTATGAGTCTGTCTCTCATTGATAGTGTATTACTGCATAAATTCAACCTGTATACAAGTCTTAGGGCAAAAACTATTCCTATTCCAACTAACAGGTAAACAAGCTTATCATCAGTGAAGCTTGATGCTCCTTCCAAAATGTAGGAACATATTGAATCAAATAATTAACTGATCATATGATGGACATACACAAAGTAAATTGATGATTAAAAACATAGTGGTTCGTATTATGATTAGAAATTTCAATGACAATAATAATAAAGCCGATTGTAGGATCACTTACCTTTAAATAAAAATGAATGGGATGGGTAGGCACAATAAAGTGGCCTTAGAATTAATTCCCTTAGCTTATAATATTGTAAACAGTGTAAGTGTATAAACACTGCGTAGAAAAAATACGACTGACTGTTTTTATAGTCTGTCTGACAATGATTTAAAGGGCAAGTTTATGTCACGCAGACTATAAATAGAGGAAAAAATAGAATGATTCAGCTTAGATCGAAAGATATGGTCATCGATTAAGATGCATTATTGAGGATGCACGTTTTGTCATCTAATTAATAAGACTTTTTTTTTAATTAGTTCCTACTGCAAATTTGCAAAATAAAATGGGCAGGTACCTATTTGCACAACGAGGTTGCGTAACGTGACATGCCGGTAAATATTTCTCACCTTACGCTCGCAATGGCCCGCAACAGATTTGTCCTTGGAATTGAATTCATAATGTTGATTTAAGATATATTTTTAGTAAAAGATCCTAAAATAAGTACTTCTTTCCAATACTTGAAATTTTTACGATTTCGACAAGTATATTTGACAGCAGATGACAGAATTTCAGATATGACAGAATTCCTTCGCACCAAAGATTACACTGTTTTTTTTCCAGGCGACTAAATACGGTCTTTTAAGTAAATTTTGATTACACGAAACGATGATTTTAACTGTATTTTAAAGTTAATTCGCGAAATAACGAAAAACAAAAATAACGAATACTTATTATGTTCTAAAATGTGCTTCGATTAGTTTTATAAAAAAGCTAAATTGCAGATTTTTGCAACAAAACTTAGTATTTAATATTCCGCGATACCAAAAATTATTATACTTAAGATACGTTTATACTAAAGACATAATATTTAAAAGGTACGAAGTACCATTTGTATTTATTAGATGGACTTCAACTTATGTATCCAAATAGTTTTTAAATCTTACTGGATAGAGACATCACGAAATAGTATCATAATAAATTATATTACTCATTGATTGACGGCCAAAAGAGAAAAACTGTACTTATAAAATATATAACACTAGTAAAAAATACTAAGGGTTATCTGCAAAAAAACCATATGTGCACTTCTACCAATTGAATCATAGTTGCGATTTAGAATTTTGCACTAAACAATAATTTGTCATAACTTAGATAAAATGTTTCTGATAATTCACAAAATTAAATGATTTTTTCCAAATTACTCAGCAGAATCAGCCAGCCCTAAGTAGCTGGGCATTGCTAATAAAGTTTTTAATATTAATACCATGATATAACAAGCCAATTAGGGTATCACTTTAATTAAATACCTACTATATTAATAATAACTTTACATTTGTAATATAATAGAAACAAGTTAAGTATTCCAATTCCAATTCAAGTTAATTTTAATTTACAATCATGTTTTTTACACCGCTCATATAATAATGTAAGCACTTTGAACCATTCTTCGACTGACCTATTATTGATAAAGTGAAAATAGAATACCTACCTGCAATAAAATGATATGATAACGCTTGACACCCTGGCTTTTGGTTTAATTTACAATATACAAAACAGTAGAAAATAAGTTTTTATATTATGTGGCTTTTATATTATTTACTTAATTTTATATTATTAACTTAATTTTACTTAATCTGTTTCAAGGTCTCATTTGAATTTGAATACAACATAAAGAATTTTACAATAACATTATTTCCATAGACTATAAAGGGGAAAGTAGAATGTAGTGTCTATATACTTTTTGGGGCAAAAGAAAATAGCGGCAGATATAAATAGTAAAATCTAAAGTTGTTGCAAATCTAATTATTTATTCTTTCTAGAATGAATGACAAACAACTAAAATGGGAAATATAAAACTTACGTCATGTCTTGCTTTTTCGCCCATAATACATGCTTCAACTTTTGTTCTGCAATAATTTTGTTCAGCTCAGCCGTTTCTCTCATAGCCCTTACAACCTGACGCTCTTCTTTTAATGTTTCCATCTTCATTTGCTTTTCTGCTGTTGTATAGCTAAAACAATAGGTATATTAATTACTAATAGCCTACTTAAATAGGTAAGTAAATTAAAACTTTCTACACGTTGAATGATTCTGATGTCAATTGATAACTCACTGAAAGTATTCCTGAAGCTCTCTATAAAAAGGATTAGTTAGCTTAAAAACTTCTTCCATGTAATTGTAAGGAATGTCAGTCATAGTAGTTGTTGAGACAGTTCTTGTGACAGTTTTGTTAGCAGCATTTTCTTCCGGGGTATCAAAATCATTTATTGATTCTGAGATTTGTTCAGAAACTGATGATGCAGCAGAAGACTCAAGTTGAGTACTATTGGTTTTATCCAAAGGCATATCAGTATCCATGGAGGCCAAAGTATTATTCAAGCCACTGCAACTTGGTTGGTTAATATCCCTGAAACATAAAAATAGAAAATTATAACATTGACTACCAACCTAATAAGTTGGCTGTAGGTAAGCTGAGTAACCTTTGCTTTGCTTTGTCTATAATTTGGTAAAAAGAAACAAATCTATGACACACTACTACTAATTTTCTATCTAAACTATAACTAAACAGTATTCCTTCTTAGTAAGTATATAGACTTGATTTTAAATATTTGTACTGGCTAGAACAACTCTCATTAAACTATTATTAAATATACATATAAGTATATTTTTCTACTTAAATTTGGTTTCTAAAATAAGTTGTATGGAGCTTCTGAAATACTATCCAAACTAACTTACTCACAAGAAAATAAAGATAATTGACTTACTCATCAATACATTCTGTTTTGATCTCAATATTGGCAGTAATTGAGGAAGAAGACTCATTCAAATTTTCATTTTCTCCTCTGAGAACACCATCTTTCACTAATTCTAGGATATTGCAAACCTCCAGTGATAACCGGGAATAATTTTGCAGTTGCGGGCCATTTACCGCTACGTCTTCGCGAGCTATTCTCTTCATATTCTGCCACTGAGTCTTCACTTTCTTTATAGAACTACCGGTAAACTTACAGCCAAATTTCGCGGCTAACTCGCGAAGTATTTCATTCCAAGCGACGTCTTTTTCTTCGTAGTGGTTTGGACCATTGTTGGTTTTTGTAACGACCACTTCTTTGCGTTGTTTAATTAACTCGAGTAGGTACTGTTTTTCTTCGAGTGACCAGTTAGGGGTTCTTAGTCGACCGTTATTATTTAACTTAGCTATCTTGCCCATTTTTTGCGAAGCGTCCCGAGGAACGTGGTTGATCTTTTGCAACGATTTGTTGCAAACGATGCACTCGACGTCCAAAATTATAGGTTTCCACATTTAAAAACAAGTGAACTACGAAAAACGACCTAAAACTTTGACAAGCTATAGACAGCACTGCTAACTACACACTGTTTAAAAACTTATTTTGGAATGAAGTTTGTAATGGATTATTTTTGAATCATAGAACCAGTGCGAAATAAATGAATTAAAAATTGTATTCTATGAGGCAATGGAACAAGCAAGCTCAGAGGTTTTTGATATGTTAGGGTATGGCGAGGCGATGAACTGGCCATATATAGAGCGCCAAACTTCAAATGAACTAAATTATCTGGTGTAGTTTGCACTAGATTTAAGCAATACTCTTACCTAGATGGTTCGTATTCAATTAAGTATGTACGAATAATTTATTAAATTATATATTATGATGATCACATTTAATATACCTATGTGTAAAAATTTTGTATTAAACCTTAAGTTTCTTCAAGCAGGTGCGTTTAATTAATACCTATTTGGTTAACGTCAAATTGATTGTTAACATCAATTTATAGTGTCCTTTTATTTATTTGTTAAAATTAAATTGTTAGTTAGTAAAGAGTCATGTTTTAAACGGATGTGTTAATACAATTTATTTGTTGCAGTGATTTTCAGTAATGTCTATAAAGAAAAACCTAATTTTTCTTCAAAGTTGGTTATATTCCCACATAATATGGACAGAACATTTAAATTAAATATCTGATGGCTATCAAGGTTGTGGCGATCCTGCTGAGAATAAATCAATATCAGCTCCAGTTAACTAAGTCGAACCTACTTAGGTAGGTATGCAGGTACCTACCAAGAAGAACATATAAAAATACCAGCATTACAGATATTACGAGATTGCGAGTGGCGTACACATAGGTACGGTTGATGTGGATCGCTTACCAAAGGTCAGTTAAATCTTGGTTACCGAAGGCCCAATTCCCTTCCCAATCCCTAAATCCCCAAAATCCCCAATCCCTAAAAGGTCGGCAACGCACTCCTTCTTTGTTGTGGGTGTCCATGGGCGACGCTGATCGCTTACCATCAGGTAATCCGTCTGCTCGTTTGCCGTTCTATCAAATAAGAAAAAAAGAAATTTAATCTACCGACACTGATATTATAGTTTATTAACAATAAAAAGTAGCTCAGTTAGATAGGTAGTGTTCATTTTGTTACAAATCCCTGCTTGATGTAGACACATTTTAAATTTTCATCCTACTATCCCCGCTTTAATTTAACGTGCTAGTTCAGCATCTTTCCGTTAGATGGAGTTAGTAGTTAGTTAATTTCCTAAGTTTTCTTGTTTTACATTTTTACAGGCAACTAATAACCAATTTGTTGATTGCTGTTTATATCAATTTGTAATACCTTAAATTAGATTGTAAATATGGGAAAGATCGGCTCGATCGGAATGTTATCACGGCCTCATTGAGAACTGGCGTGAAACAACTTAGGTACAGCAATGTGTGGCATAAACACCGCCAAGCTTAATTATTAAATATTCAATTAAGAGTAGCTATTTGATTACTACATGGCTGAATTTCTTTTCTCATTCAGGCCGTAAGTTGTAGGGTTGGCTATTAAATCTGAGTTGCTACCAGAGGGTTCGCTTCGATTAAGTTAGAACCACAACCTGCGCAGAAAGCAATTTGTCAACAGAAATCAAATCTACCAGAATTGTATTGTGATATCATTTAGATCGTTAATTGAATTTTTCAGCTAGGAGGTTGCGATATCTTAGGTACCTATACAACATCATACAACCCAGTCTTGTGGGAAAAGGCTTAGACAGTAGAACTTTAAATAAAAGGATATTAATTTTTAATGCAATATAATTGAAATTAGAATATGGTAATCGGGTTTCCATTTTGGCTTGAAAGTGCGGGAGAGTCATTCTTCGACGCGAATAGGCTGACACGACAGCTGCAGAAAACTGAAGCGAAAAACGCTAGCTTCGTGTTTTGTTTTGTGAGTGAGGTTACTAGACGCTTACTTTGTGATCAATCTGTGCCTGATCGTTTATCGATCTATTCCATAAAAAATGGTTTGGCCAAAAGCTATAAGTATGCTTGTATCTTTCACTTTAGATATATACCTACATAGATTTAAATATACCTAGGTACTTAAATAAATGACAAATTATTATAACAAAACTTTTTTTGTTGAATAGGTATTGGCAATGAGTTACGGATTTTAATACACACTTTCAAGTTAAAATTATAACAACAATTATAACAATTATTATAAAGTATCAACTAAAACATGGTATTCATAGGCAATATTTTATCAAAGTCCAAAAAGATTATATTCGATAGTGGGTACCTACAGAACATAGGTAGGTACCTACTTTATTTTACCATCTTTGAAGTTATTCGTATGTAGGTGCACTTTTAACATAAGTATTTAGCCTTTAACTGGTCGCTTCTCCATTAAAAGTTTGAAATGTTCGCCTATCATAACTGGATAGTTTTTTAAACAATAATAATTTATTCATGTTGAACCTTAAACAGGTTTCCATACTCTACGCTACGAGTTATAACTTCGTCACTTTGTTCTTAAAGTTCATAATCGCTATTCGCTTCATCTGCATGTGCAAAGCAAAAAAATCTTTAGGTACTTAGTCATACAAATTGCCATTAAAATGCATTATTGAATAGGGATGATTAATAGGTCATTATTGCAGTAACAGTTATGTTAGTAATTGGGCAACACACAAGCTCTTTCCGTAGTTAATTAAGACAGTCGGTCATAGAGGCTCTACAGCGCTACACGTTTGTCAAACATTTTTTTTAAACTCGTCCATAGTGCATCTTTTTTTTATTTCCAAGAAGTGCTTCATCCGTTTTAGTGTAATTTGAATTTGAATAAGGAATCAGTGAATATAATGCCATTAGTTTAATATAGTTTCGCAAGAAAATATTGTGAAACAAACATATTTCTTTGGTTTTGTTACCGGTAAGTACCCAAATGTCTTTTATTTAGTTAGTACGGTCCTTAGGTTTTACAAGATGATTTTGTAATATAGACTGTATTTTTTGGTACCAAATTATTACAAGAAATCGTAACATACTTATTCCTAAAGTATTTAGATTTTAGTGCCTAGTTCAAGTCACAATTAGCATTCCGAAATATTCGCGCACGACTTTAGTAAAAACTAATAAGTATGGTTTACATTAATTAAGATTTTTTTTAAATATTACACACGAGTTCTTTAGCCTAATGACCGTTTTCTTATAAACAGTGTTTGTTAGTTAAATATACGCATCTGCATAAATACTTTTTTATGCAGATATGTATTTTTATCTCATCTGTCGTTCATATTATCTTATCTGTGTAAGACTTCTTAGTTGATTTAGTTTAATAATTCCCAAATGCAATTTGTTCACTAATCTAGTACTAAAGTACAATGAACTCTGACTAAACATCATTATATTCGTGGCCCTGATTATGAAAAATATTTACTTACACTAAATCGTACAGAAATTCCCAAGTTTCAATTTCACTAATTCTTTGATTTCAGCGATTTCAGAGATCAATTTCTTTAAGGTTTTGTACTTTCACGAAATTAAGGATTATTTTTAATGAGTACAGCTATAATGAGCTACCACCTCGTAGACGCTGTCATAAAATTAGTAAATGTTTTTGGATTAGGTTGTACAAAATACTTAGTTGTTACTTAGGTCCTACAAAAATAATGACACTTCCATTTATTAATTTCAATTTATTAAGGTACTACAATTCTTGCTAATTTCGTTAAGAACTATAAGTATGTAATTATAGGTAGCATACTTACTTATAAGTACATCACCAACTTATCGTTTTTTATATTTCGAAATTAAAAATCATCGAATTGTAAAATCATAGTTTTTCAGTAGGTAGGTTCCTACATACCATTTAAGTTTGACGCGTTGGTTTGGCCATGAGACATGAGAACCCGTCCAAAATTGTTGTGCAATAGTACCTACCACAAGACACACTCCACTAGCGTCTATAATGATAATGTTGCTTACGAAATGGGATTATAATTGGAAAAATGTGTTCCTAGAATTCTTAAAGCCGTTTCGAGTTTGGAAGTGGCATTCTTGGTGGTAGGTATGGTTTGATTTCTCATTAGTGATAATATGGGTATCAAAGTCTTAAGTAGGTGTGTATACGTACTTATAATATGTTTAAGTTTATTCGTCTTTAGTTATCGTGATTAAATATTTTGTTTTTTTTTTTTACTTTCTTGATTCAGAACAGCGACATTTATTGTCGCACGTGCTTATAGGTACATGTTCGGAAAATTGTAACAATGTTCCTAAGTGTTTTTTTTATGGACTAAGGTAGTAAACGGCTCGACTGATTATAAGCAAACCGCGATGCCCATGCACACTGCAATACCAGAAGAACAGCTAAGGCGTCGCCCGCCGTTTTGGGGTTAAGGATTTTAGGATGGGATAGACAAACATTTATTTTAAGTATCATTTGATTACAAAACGAGGGTATTTTTTTTAATTCCTACTTATTATCAACATTAAATTATAGCATGCTTTAAGGTTTCCTATGTTAGCCGGGGTCAAGCGTAATAGAGAGGCTCCGGCCTGGAGCAGGAAAAGAAACGGGGGGTTTTTAGTCAGTAAAAGTCTGACACTGCGTTTCACCACACCCTGAAGACTTCGAGGGAAGTCATGATGATTTTCCCTCCTTATAAAAAGATTTTCTCTGTTCGGAAAAAAATGTCATTGATGCGTAGCTCCGACCAAATAAACAAGTTGACATTTTACGTTCATCTGAATTACTTTAAATATTGATGTACTCCAATAAACTGGTTGTTGTGGAATGCAATGCTGGCGACCCACAGAATAATAGTAAATAACAGAATATTAAATAGGCAACTATGTATACAAATGTATACACAGATTATAATCTTATTTATCATGGATCTCGAATACGAGTTTTTTTCT